TCGCGATTGAAAGCACCAATAATGGCGTCGACAACATCTGAAACAATTAAACAAACACAACAATCGTCAAATCATTTGTTAAAACAAACCTTTTATCACAAACCATTCAGCCAAGCAATTAACTAAAAATGCAATTTTGACCAAGTTGCTAAGAACAAACCTGCATTCCTTTAACCAAACCCTTAAAGGGAGCCAATTTCTGAATACAATTAACGGGAGGATAGCATACAACTTGCAAAGCCTGGATACCGCGCCATAAGAAGGGACATTTAGCCTTCGAGACCCTTCTAACAGTTTCTAAGGCAGCAACTTTGAGTAAAAATATTGCTATATGACCTGCTGCACCCTTAACATCTCTACGATTGCTTATTCCAGTTATTTGCCTGCAAGTACTCTTAGGATATGTTTTGGGACTCGAAACACCTAAATTTCCTTTATAACCTTTTTTCTCTTCCATGAAAATAACAAATAAACCAAAATTGAGAAACCTAAGAAAATTTCACCATTCCCAATTAATAAAGCAATCGACCGTATCAAAATTAAACTAGTAAGCTCTAGCTCTTCAAATCTCACAGAATTTTATAATAAAACCAAATCTACCTGCAAACAGATAGGATTTGAAATCAGGTATTTATCAAACAAATAGCTTAGAAATTATATAGAGCTAAAAATTTTAAAATAAAAAAAAAGGAAAGAAAGAAATCTTACCCCGAAAAATCGATTCATTTTTTTGGCAGATTTGGAGCTTATAAAAATTTTAACAGCCTTTTTCTGGTCTTGTCGGTAAATTCGAACAAGAAACTTCTTGGTCGTGTTTTTATGTTGTTAGTAGGTTTTATCAAATTATTTAATGCTTGAACGATCTGTTCTTTCGACAGCGATCGAGGAAAATATGAGAAATGGAGACAGAACGGGAAGTGATCCAGTGAAAGGCGTGGTCCTGCACGTGAGTACTACACCAATGTACGAGCTAAATGCAGTGACACGTGTACGGCAGTTTTCTAAGTAAAGATTTGGTAGTCCAAAGAGACCGGTTTAGCAGTTGTGATTAAGTGGCCGAATCGCGTACCGAACAGTATTATTTAAAATGCTAACCGTTGATAAACGTTTGCAGCGGCAAAAATATGCCCATTCGTGTCACGCGCCCAAAGCTTTGACACGACATTTTTTTTTGTCCTTTTATTGGGAAATACTTCTTTTGAAATTAGAGTTAGACCCGGTGAACAAGTGATAAGTGATGATCGCCAGGTGCTAGTTTTGAAGCAAGCTAAGACTTGATGCAGTCCACGTGTAGCCCAATGGCTGACCACGTGTGAAAGCCTCGCATCAACTGGAGAAAGAACAAACCAGAGAAACATAAATAAAGCGTCAGTGAAAGCCGAAAAGGATAATTAGTCGTATTCCCTTGCATCTCGTAAAGATCAAGAAACTAACCAATCGTTTTAGATCAAAAAGAAGAAACCATGGCGTCTAATCTTAAGCCAACGTTTGGCTACACTGTTGTTAATGTTAAGGACGTAGCCAAATCAGTAGATTTCTACGCAAAAGCCTTTGGTTACGACGTTCGTCGCTTGGACGAGTCTCACAGGTACGTATGCATCATTCAAAATATTTGCATGTGATTTTCGGACGTGCCCATGGCTTGGCTCATTTGGTTTTCCAATGGTGGTTTTTTGGGGGTAATTAATTACAGATGGGGAGAGCTGGAGAGTGGGCATACCACGATTGCCTTCACTCCCAGACACCAACACGAGACCGATGACCTAACCGGTGCGGTCCAAGTCCCAAAATCTGATAGCGAGCGACCCCCAGTGGAACTCTGTTTGGTTTACACAGACGTCGATGCTGCATTCAAGGTTTGTAGACAACAAATCAACAATGGTGTTTCTTATTTTACCAGAATTTTCATATTGATCCATGAACGATTATGACGAATATTTGGCTATGAAGAACAAATGTGATGAATGGGCATATATTACAAGTATAAATTTTTTGTTTTGACTGGTTTCAATTGTTGTTATGGTTGGAGGACAGCGGGCGGTGGAGAATGGAGCGCTGCCCGTGAGCCAGCCAGAGGACAAGCAGAATTGGGGACAGAAGGTCGGGTATGTGCGTGACATTGATGGCCTGACCGTCAGGATGGGGAGCTATGTTCACGCATCAAAACAAGACTGATGGAACTAAAAAGTTCATAACCTTTGTTATGTGTTAATTTATGTATTAAGGTAAGTTGTTATGAGTGCGGATGTGAATTATATTTGTGAGTTTAAATTAGTAGGATATATATATATAATCATAATAATATTCTAATTAATTTAAATTTTATGCTTGATTTCTACTATTGTTTCCTATCTAGTCCTACTTTCTTTCATTCTCCTCCATACTTGTTTAGTAGGTTGCTTTGTTCAGCTTGTCACTGGTAATTATTATTCAATAAACTAATTTATGAGTTCATTAATTGAAAATGAGTTTGCTTAAAAATATGAAAAAATCGACTAATAACTTTTAAGGAAAGTATTTTTATGCTTCTTTGTTAACCGCAAACTAAAGAGAAATAAGAGGGTACAATTCAGTTGAAGTGCTAAAAGAGTTTGGTAACACTTCATTCCTCTGAGATTGAGCATTCAATTAATTCAAGGGAGCAGATATTCAACACCACTTCCTTTCTTTCTCTGTCTATAGCAGAGATATTTTAGGGGCAGAACAAGAGAATAAAAGGCTGGCAAAAGAAAAAATAAAATACTATTGTTTTGGAGTTTGATCGACAAGTAGATTGTAAAACCTACTAATAGAGATCAAAATCAAAGCATCTAACAAAAGACAAATGTCCATCCAAAGAAGAGTCACCAGAAAAAAGACCTTATGATAGAGGGACTCAACAAGAACGCTTGCCAACAAACACTAAAAAAACCAAAACGCTTTTGAATACATAAACGTTTTTGACAGTTATTACAATTACTTCACCACAAGAAGGGAAAATAAAGTAAAAAGGGGTAAAGTGTGAGAACTTCAGATGGCATTCTACAAGAACACTGCAGTGTTGTATCAACCACATCTCCCCACACAATAAATTAAGGCATTCCCTGGGTACATATGTAGAGAAGAAGCGCCAGCAACAAATCACAACATTTCTTGTGACCGTCTGACGCAGCGGCTGACCTTCCTCTTGAATTCATCTCTCCTCTCTCTCCATTCCTTCTGCAATTTACACAAAAATATTGGTCGTAAGAAACACGGATGGAAGAGCATGGTTTTGATTCTTTGGTCTGTCAACCAAAATAAGTTGTAAAACAGCAACTTTTAAGTTCATGAGTAAAAAGTTTCCAAATGAAATATATGACAAAACTTGAGCATATGCCAATGGCTGCATCAGGTGGAGAAGAAAAGAGATAAAACACCAGGCCACAGGAATGATAATATAATAAGGCTCCATATTAGGGGAATTTCTAACAAAGAGGACTAGGGAATAAAGCATGTGTACCTTTTGATGGAATTTTAGAGTCGGGCTACAAATAAAGGGGAGAAAAAACAGTATAACAACACATTTCTATGGAAGCAAACTCGGCACATGAAATTGGATGTGCACCATATGTACAGAGACTTTGGCAAAGAAAAGTGGGATGACAACATAACTAAATAGTAAATACCCTAGGAATATACGGAGTAAAGAAACAAGTACATATTAAAACCCCATATAATCTGAATAGTCATTTTAATTAATGATAGTTAATATAAGCACAATCCCAGAAGCTTTTTAAGGAAATTTGTTACCCTTAATAGAAGGGTAGATAACATGTTAGTACATGTCAATGGAAGTTTCATCAAACATTCAAAAGGAACATTGCATGCAAATGCAGAGATCATATACCGCGAAGATAGAAAGGGAACCACCCTTGTAAGAACCAACAAACCAAAGACCAAAGTTGTTGCAAAAAAAGGAATATATAATTCAAGACAATCAACAATCACTTACTGCAGCTTCAACATTCGCCGGAGATTCGTCGTTAGGGCTGGAAAGCATTGATATGATACTCAAAACAATACTCTCAACCTGCCACATAATAAGAGTACTACATTTGTTAATGTACTATCACAGTGTCAAGGAAAAAAAAGGGAGAAAAACAAAGTAGCGAGGAGCAGGGTAACTGCAAATTTGTGAATAACTCATTCACTAGTAAGACATTCATGTATAATTTCAGTTTCTAATTACATGTAAATCTCTTATGATTTCCAGATTATACTTCTTACCTGTCTTCCTTTTTGCCTGATAAAAGAAGTTACATGCTTGCAATCAAATAGTTAAAGTTTGAGCAAAGTTAAAATCTATGGCGCTACATATGTCATTAGCCCTTGAACAGGTAAAAACAAAAAGACAATTCATAATTAATTGACACTTCATGAACATACCGTATGTACTGGCATCCACCGCTCACTTGCAAGCTCATAGCCATTTGGATCATCACCTGGAGGATGAAGAATTGATATGCAAACACGCCCATCGGGATAAACTGCGGAACAAATAGAGATGAAATTAATTCTTGCATTACATAAAGGCATGTAAGAACCAGAACAGAGAAAGGTATACCATTAGGATGCCAAATCTCTGATGTAAATTTCACTGTTGGAGGGCTGTTTGGATAATTGGGGGGAAAGCTCATAATGGCATTGAAAAATCCCCCTTCACTGAAATTTGAATATTTTTGTTAAAGAACATAAACAATAAATCATGAGATTACAAGACATATGCTGTAGCCACAACCACTAAAAACAATCCCTATATAACTCAATTCAATGTCATGGTTACTCAAGAACAAGAACAGTAAAATTGAGCACAAGCAACGGGAAGGAAAGACAAGTAACAAGAACATAGAACTACAAAGCAAAGAAACTTATCTTAGCAGCAAACAAATAGCATTGTCAAGAAGCACAAGAACAACAATTTGTACTGCTCAGAACCAACAAACCTCCAAATAGAAGCAAAGAAGCTACCATGCCATCATCCAAAATTTATCATGCCCAATTCTAGAAAAACCCTGTTTTAAAGATGAAACTTAATGAAGTATAGTTACATTGACAGAAGCTTTCAACGACTCCTAACCAAGTCATTCCTTATAAAGGCTGAAAACAAACAATTCGCTCTCTCTTGCAACCAATTCAACAAAACTAACTAAATAGCAATTGGCAACACAATGACTAGGTAAAACTCCAAATCAACTATTCCTCACAATCACCTAAAAATCAATCAAGCAAATCCAATTCAGAACCCAAAATTCCTTTCGAATTCAATAGAAGACCTTACAATCAACCCTGGCATCAATCATGATTCAGCAAAATCAATCCAATTTCAAAACCCAAAGTCCTATTAAGCATCAATCACAACCAAAACTCCTGATCCAATGTCATCAAACCAAAGCCACATCAAAGAATCCATAAGAAACAATTAATTCCAATAAAAAACAAACTTTACCAAAACGAAAACACTTACTAAAGAGTATCAGGTGGTCCAATAATTGTAACACTCCATTCAAAGATATTATTCTCATCAACCAATCCGGCTGAGAACCCATCAACCGGGTTCTTACAAAGATCTGCAAAACGATCAATTAAAACCCGGCTCAGAATCGAAACAAAACCCCAAAATTTTCATAATTTTGAATCATTAAAATTGAAATCGATAAAAAAAAAAGACTACCTTTGAGCTGTTTCTGAAGGAGGAGGCTGGCTTGAGATGCCATATAAACAATAAAGATAGAGATAAAGAGGCAGGGTTCTAGAGAGAGAGCTGCGAGAAGCTCTGCGATTTGAAGAGAGAGGAAAAATAAGGGAAAATTAAAAGCCGACACTTTGTTTCAATTTATAGATAGAAAGAGAAGGTTCGCCGATTGTGGACTCACAATTGTGCACGGGAGAGCTAGGATTATGTACGGTTCGGTTTGCTTTGGGATGCGTCTCTAGGCGAATTAGAATGTGCCACGTAAGCTTCGGTCTGCCGTGGATCGGCGTGAAAGATACTATGATTCGGGTGCTTTCCTTCGTAATGTTGATTCAACCGTTCTGATTTCGCTATCCTTGTGGGACCCAACTTCCAGGAGGGTTAATTTGTAAGCAGTGACTAAGGTAAGTTTAAACCTTTGTGAAGGTATAAAAGTTGAGGTAACTAGGGTGGTAAATTTTTTTATTAAAAAATAAATTTATCTTCACCCCCAATAAATTATCATTAAGAAAAATATCATAAAGTATTTTCAACATTAATTTCACACTTCCAATAAGATACAAACCTTCATCATTAACAAAAAAATCATAAACACTTCCAATAAGATACATATATTTATCGTTAATGGAAAAAATCATAAATTATTTTTTACATTAATTTCACACTTTCAATAAGATACATACGTTTATCATTAATGAAAAAATCACAAATTATTTTCGATATTAATTTTACACTTCCAATTAGATACATTCGTTTATTATTAATAAAAATATTATAAATTGTTTTCGATAATAATTTCACACTTTCAATAAGATACTTACTTCTATCGTTAATGCAAAAATCATACATTATTTTCAACAATAATTTCCCATTTCGAATAAGACACATATGTTTATGGGTAACAAAAAAAATCATAAATCAATCCTTCACAATAAGTAAGATTTTTATTATGAAAATAGTAAAAAGGTGAAGTGAATGGAAAAATAATTACAAATGTGGAATTACTTTGTTGTATCATGCATAAATTCTTAAGGATTTCTTGCAACCCAAAAAAAAAATCTCATTGACATTTCAACAAAAATGGGTAATTAAGCATTTCATTGAATATGCAATTATGCACGTGAAATTCACAAAATCATACTATTTGATAATATAAAATGTTTATGGATTTATAATTTTATATATATTTGGTTTCATAACTCATAATATTTCATTTTCAAGTGAAATTAAAATATTTATTTAACTATGACACTACATCTTAAATAAAGTAAATACGTTTGAGTTAAATTCCAATAAGATCACTAATTTATTTATATTCTATTTTCTGCCAATGAGGTATTTTTTCAGTGGAAAAACCATGGCATTTATTATATTTAGCAGGAACTATAACGGGCTTAGTTTATGCAATTATCCAAAAAATAAATCCACCTAGTAAAATGAGCTACTTCAAATTAATTTTGGTTATGAATTCAAACTTTGTTTATAATTAAATCAATTGACAAAGTCCAATTTGATTACCAAATTCTTGGTAAACAAGTCAAAATAATTTTATTTATTTATTATGGTTTGCTTTGGCCAAGGAATTTTATGGTTTCTTCTCTGTTTGGATCTGCCATAGGAAGAAGCAAGATTCAAGAACCAGAATAGTGTACCTGTCTTCTAGCTTAACGTTGAGAGATACCAATTATTTTGAGATCCTCGTGAAAAATATTTTAAAAAATGACAAATTATTAAAGTTTAATTATATTTTCCCTTAAATACCAAAGCCAGGGGCTCAAATTTGAACTATTAAAATTGAAAATTGCATGTTTAAATTTAATAAAAATGTTGTTTGGAAGAATAAAATTTTCCAAATTCGTATTCTAATTAAATGAATCTAATTAGGGCATATGAAAGATTATAATTAAAATTGAAAAGAAGAAAGTAAAAAATGTTGAATTAATTAATTAAGCTTAAGCTTTCTACTCTATAGTATAACTCCAAGGTAAACCTTGGGGTTTTACTCTTTTTGTAAGGCATCTCATTGGATAAAAAATGTTACCCTTTTCTTTCTTTTTTCTAATAACCAAAGGTTCGCCCAATATGATAGTATCTAAAGTTTTCTCCATGCATCAATTCAAATCATAAAGTGCTGAAAATGAAAATTTTGAACTTAAAAAATAAAAAATTTATACTTTCCATACAATATTTGTGTAACGAAAAATAATAAGATTGAAGAAAATTAGATTATTGAATTTTTTTATAGGTAAAAAAATTAATATAACAAAAATATTATATAATTGAGTGATGAAAAATATTATGTACAATATGAATTAAAGATGAGATAAGGTTAGAATTTATAAATAAATTTTTTTTTATTTAATAATTTTTTTTAGTTAAAAAAGTGGACCATGAAATTTGTACCACTGCCGAAAGAAAGGAAACAAGGTTCATAAAGAATGAAGAATTGGTGAAATGATTGACAGCAACCATCTCATAATGCGCTGGGCGTATAATAAAGTAACATTATTATTTCTTTTGTTTTATTTTTTATTGGTACTTAATTTTTGAATATTTGAAAATAAAATCTATTTAAGACATCTAATGTACTTATTTTTATATTAAAAATATTAAATATTTATATTATAAAAAATTTTAAAATTTAAAATATACTAAAATCAAAATATTATATCAACCTCGATAAAAATAAAAAATATTTGAAGACAGAGAAAATACTATATGAAAAAGAATCTCACGTAGTTCTATATTATGGTAAAAAACGAAAAATTAAATTAATAATAATAATAATAATAATAACAAATAAAATAAAGAAAGCAGGACAGGGCGTTCTTGATTGACTCGTTAAAGATTGTTCTGGATTTGGAGATTTTTTAACTGAACCAGATACGATCAAAGCAGAAGCTTGAAGTCGCCACCTGCTCCGTCCGTCGCTGAATTCATCAAAGTAAATTTCATCTTCTACTTCCAAGTCTACATTTCAAGAAGGCAAGATGAGAGGGCGATAATTCGTCGTCGTAAAGGGTGTGCCCAAAGCAAAGGTGAGGGAGCAGGACGGCAAGTAAGAAAGCAAACACTTCACGTGAAGGCACTGTAGCACACGCATGAAAAAGAAAAAAGAATTTTTGAGAAAAGAGCCCAGAAAAAAGGAAAAGAAAGAAAAATCGAACATGGGGCCTTTTCAGGTTCACGGTTCACCATTATTTTGGTGCTCCTTTCTCTGCCGCTCCCTGTCTCCATTGTCTCCTCCTCGAGTACTCCCTCCCTCCCCAAAAACAGAAACAGTAGCAACACCACAGACCATGGCATGTTGTGTAACCTTCTTTTTTTGCACACTTTATTACATGATGGGGCTAACTCTCCAGGGAAAGATTTTTGCTTTGGTCTTAACGCAATCTTGTCAGAGAAAAAGGGGTGAGAGTTTAAACTATTATTATCAGTAACTGCTAATTTGGGTCAGAATCAACAAGCAATATCTGCTGCCAAATCCCATTTTTCTACTTACAAGGTGAAAACAGAGTAACACGACATATAAAGGAAAACGAAACTAGATGCATTCAATAAGACACTTTATCACTTCCCTATCCTATTAAAAATTACAATGTCACTGTACGCACTAAAGAGGAAAGGAGAAGAAAATGAGAGAGAGAGAGAGGGAATATGCCATATGCTATAATGATAAACTCCAGTACATAACATTTGACACATGCTCTTCTTCTCTACTGTTGAATGAAAATCAACATCTAATCTCTTCTTTTTATGATCAACACAAAGCAAACACTCACGCGGAACATCCATTTCAGTTAGACATACTCCAATTACACTTCAACACCATTGATTCTTAAAGCCCAACTTACAAACATACACTAGATACGATAACACTAGAAATGAACAGAACCAGAGTTCCCTTGTCCTTTTTTTTTCTGCTTAAAATCTCTCAAGAACTCAAGCTGGTACAAGAAAGGTGAGTTACTGTCTGCCTAGTGACAGAAGATAATCTTGAGCTCACGTGGCGAAGCACACTCGTGCGTGAGCGAAGGGCTGTCATGAGCATATGTAAACGTGGCAGGACAAGCATGCTTGAAAAACTCTGAGAAACTCGAAGCCCTACACGTCTGAGGACTATTGTAATGGTTCCGACAACAGAGCTCGTCCGTACCGAAGGCTTGGCATCCGCTCTTACAACCCACTACCGGACCGTGACCCGGCGGAGACCGAAGCTGCAACTTGTCGGGACACGTGGCGAGTAGGTTAGCCTTGCAGCCAACGACAGGGCAAAGGCCTTTGCCTTCGTGCGGGGTCACAGTCATGGGGACGTTGAAACCGTCGACAAGGCTGACGGCGTAGGAAGAGAGGTCCTTGTGGCCACCGTGGTGGAGACTGAACTGTGCCAGTGTGACAGGGGGGGCCCCACCGAGGCCACTGCACTCTATGCGGTGGCCACAATCTCCTGTGGCACAGTAGAAATGGCCGTTGGAGTGGGTGCAGCCGGTTCTGGCCCAGATACGGCCGGACCAGTGGGCGGTTGGTGCAGGGAAGGAACGGTGGGTCAGGGTTTGGAGGGCGAAGCCGCCTCTTTCAAGGACAGGGTGGCCAGCGTTGGGTTGGATAGCTGGGTAAACGGTGAAAGGGCAGTTGTTAACAAGTGTCAAAATGAGACCAGGCTGAGTAGCTCCAGCAAAGCTGCATAGGAGAAAAAGGGTAACAAAGCAGAACAGAGAAGCACACAAAGTAGAAGCCATTTTCTCGAGTGAGTGAAGAGATGGGATTTCTCTTTGCTTCTTATAGAATTGAAGAAGAAAAGGTGTAAGTCGGTTAAAAGACTGAAACACCCTTTTCTCATTTTTGGGCTTTTATCCAATGTGAAAACGGTTTTTATAATCACTGCTCAGGACTGAGCCGCCCTGCAAAATGGTCAGAAACCAGAGGACAGAGTCGATACTTTCATGTGGGTGCCTAACCTAGCTTTTCTCAGAGTCTTTTCGAGTGGTTTCACCTTTCAAGTAATTACAAACTTAATCCTAATCTAATCAGCGCTGATTAGGCGGATTTTCTTCTGTTTTTGTTTTATTATGCTTTGTTAATATGTGACAGTTGTTCTACTTTTTGAGTGTAAAGCCTAAAGATAAAGTCACTTTAGGGTCTTTTCTTTCACTACTAATTGGCTTTTGAGTATTGATTTAGAAACGAACAAACAACTCAAAAGGATTCTAACTTGTGAGGACTGAAACGTCTTTTAAGGTTAGAAGAAGGCACGTTTGCATTTGCATTCTGTTCCCGCAGTTTGCTGAAATTGAAATGGTTGTTCCCCTTCTGGGGCGTAGTAGCTAACTTGGCTATCATCACTAGCCTATACACTGCGAAATTTCCAATTCCAGTAGCTGTACGCTGTTAAGTTAAGTAGTTAACAAGGATCACGTGAGCCTCATTTATGAACTTCAATTGCAAGAATCCAGGTTTACCATTATGCATTTCTCGTCTTGAGAGGAGAGGAGATTTTCCAGTCACTTACTTCCAAAAACAGAAGAAGACAGACAGGAAAAGAGCAGGCCAAATTACCGTGGGTTCATGATGAAAAGTTGTTCTTACATTGAGATGTGACACCATCTCAGGTCGAAAATGAAAAATAATAAATATGGTTGATAAATTTTATATAAAGATTTAAATCAATAATTATTATCACTTAGAATATAAAATTTTTAAAATTATGTAATTTAAATTTTAAAAGTTATTGATTAGTGATTTTTGGATTCATAAAGCTAAAGTTGATATCAAAGCATATACTAGTTTTATTTGAATTTTTATATTCTACCGATGAGATTTTAATTAATAATTATAATTATGATATGTGATTTTGTTGAGGATTTCAAAGATTCAAGTGAATAAGATGTAATGTTTTTTTTTGTAACGAAAGTGTATGTAATTTTTAAAACATATATAAAAGTTTAATTTAATTATTATTAATAATTTAAATTTAAATTTTTAAAAATTACTCAATCAATTATATGTTACGAGTTAGACCTTAAACTCAATTTCGTGCAATCTATCTAATAAATGGTGGATGATCCATATTTATATACTCAAAAACCATATTATCTTGATTCATGATATTGTATCTCACTGAATTATGTTACATTTACTCTTTACTTATTGAAAAGAAAGATTTTTACATTGATCTGAGTCTATTTTGATTGTAAATACATATTCCTAACTCAAAAGATATATTTGATAGGTAATAAATAATCTATATTTATATATCTAATAATTATTTTATTTTTTACTGATGTGAGATTTATAACATAATATTTGTATTTAAATGTTTTATATAAAACTTTTACGAGAACTTAAAATATCATAAAACAAAAAATTGAAATCATACTAGCTAGTAATGTGGACCATATTATTTTTGAGATTGTGTCCAGTTCTTCCATAGATTTGGACCACCTCAAAGTTCAAAGAATGCTTAATACTCATTTGGGTTGATCACTTTTTACCTGTAAAAGAAAATCATGTCCAGAGTTCAAGAAAGAAAAAGATAGCAAGAAATAATGAAGAACCATCACGTAAACACCTGGTTTAATTCTATGAATAAATAGGATTGCATTGATGGCAATGCTTTAGGAAACTTTAGACCAAAAAAAAAGATAAAGAAGCCGAATGCATGCAAAATGATGACTAGGATTGCATTGCATGCACCGCAGAATGCCGAAGACCGGTAATCAGAATCAATCCTAAAAGGTCATCCGAACTCCGCCAAGACCAAAGGGGAAAGAGTTGCGTTTCAGGTTCGGGAGAAAGAGCGTGGGCATTGGGTTGGAGGTGGGACGGTCAAGTAAAAGACAAAACACAGTGGCAAACACAGAGTGGATAAGCGTTTGAGGCAGCACCGCGTACGAGATCCGTGTCGCTTTTGTTTTGATATCTCCGGCTTTATGGTCACGTTTCCTGCACGGAATTCAATTCTAACAAAGCTATTTTATTAATTGATAATATATTGGACAAACAAAGAGACAAAATGACACAGATTGTCAGACGGGAAAAGAGAAATTTCAGGCCAACCACTAACGAAAGCAGAGAAACCTCCAAAACCATGAGTATAAAGCTTCATTTAACATCAGATAGGGTTACAATATTATTTAATTACAAGACATCTTATAAATATCTAAAAATAAAAGTTTTTAAATTTATTTATTAACAAAATGATAAAATATTTTATTCATAAATAATGTATAAAATTTATTCTCTGTCAACAAATCCAATATAAACTCAAAATTTTTTATTTATTTGTGACAATTTATATGCATAAAATCTACCAAATAAAAAAGGAAAGAAACTGAAGCATGGAAATATCAAACAATAGTATAAGTTAAGAATATCACTAGGGAGTAGTAAGTTTAAAATAACTTCGAATTGTTATGAACTCCTTACTTTTGGACAAAAAAAAAATCTATTCAAAATTGTTATTGGGGAAAAAAATTACTATAAAGAAAGATTAAAATAATAAAAATGTCGAAGTGATCAGAAATATGTAAAGCTATGTAGTTTTTGCCTTGTTTGGATTCAAGACTCGGAAGTATTTTCTCTCAGCCCACACGAGGTGAAATTTTTGCTGGATCACTGGCTCATGTCTGGCCCAAAAATGATTAATTACGAGCCACCTGGGCTTTTGTGGGATGGGATTCCGATATTTTGTGGTTTGTAAGAGTAAATATTTATTTGTTTATTTTGTGATGAGAAATTCTAAATTCACATCCTTCTTTCTCGTTTTATTTTTTTTTATTTTCATAACAAATTGTCACAGATTTTACATCAATAAAAAATAAGACGGATTTTGAATATATGAATATGAATATTTCATTACTTATTAAGTATGTTTTTTGAATTAGTTACATGAGTCCATAATTTATTAATTTATTTAAAGTTTAGTTTCAGAGTTTAAAATAGTATGAAATTGAAATTAAATTTCAATCACAAAAGTTGAAATTAAAAGTTGAAATAAAATTCAATTTAGATCCATAACAAAATCAGCTTGTTGATTTACTCACGAAACCCCTTAATGGGGAACTTTTTTTTATGCATTAAATTGGTCATTCAAATTTTTCATGCTCTAATTTGGAAAAAACAGTTAAAGCAATATTTACTTTTATTAAATTTTAATATATCTAATAAGGTAAAATCTATCTTATATATCTAAGGTGAAATACTTTTCAATACATATCTAATAAATACTTATATATATATATACACTTCATTTTTTAATCTATACAAAAAACCAAACAAGTTAACCCCATTCTATTGTTTTAATTGACAGGTGAGTCCTTTTTAGCCCTAATACGAGATCCTGGTAAAGATAATCATATCACAGAACGCATGGGCCAAGATTCTTTTTGTCCGGGTGGTTTAGATTAATGTAAACCTTTTACTAATTAATGCATCCAAATCAAGTGTCCATCATAGGCAGTTTTGACTTTTATAATGCAAATATTAATAATAAATCACCCAAATCCCCGGAAATCACTTACCTGCCTTCATCACTAAAATTTTATTATATTTTTTAACGGAGGAGTTCCCGATCATAGAAACTTTTCAGTTTTTTAAGTCACTTCGAAGCTTTTCACCTTGTTTTCTACTTCAAATGTAACTGTTAGCCAAGAAACACATGTTTATTAAATGGAGACCAATGTCATAAGTCTTATATCACAAATAGATAAGATGTTTCTTAATTTATAAGTAAAGATCTCCTTTTTCTAACAAATAGATTTAGATTAAATTGAGAAGATATATTTTGAAATAGTAATGTATAAATTATTTTTAATAGATCAAACATTTTTGGAATAAAAAATAATTTCTTAAAAAACTGATTTCTTTTTTTAAAAAAAGAGAAAAAAACTCTTTTATGAAATTTTTTCTAGATTTTATTTTTTTTAAAAGAACCGGTTTTTTTAAGAATTTTTTAATATCTTGTCTAATCCGACTTTTGGTTTTAAAAAATAGATAAATTGAAAAAAAATTTAGACAAACAATCACTAAATGAGTTTTTTTTTTGAAAGCATGACTTAATGGATTTTGAATTGTTCGAGTTGAAAATATAAACAAGAAGAAACATGATACGGATTACATTATTTTTACACGTTGTATTTAGTATTTGGGAGAGAATTGTAACCTGTAAGGATGCAACGACAGATGGAGAGGGAGAGAGAGTAATTGATCTAATATTGGAAAAAAATAGTAAAAGAATAAAAAAGCAGAGGCGCACAACTGGACGTCCGAAAACAACTTTTTCTTCTATTTTCCCCCACTCCTGTCCCAATTTCCATGATAGTCCTATGGAAGTTTTTCAACATGGAAGCATCATGACTCTTCATGACAGACTGCATGCGTCAGTGAATGAATGCATAAAACGCACCTGTTTTGATGCAAACTAGCAACCATTAGCGCCTGCCCAGAGGCAACTGTAAAGTTTAGCACAGGCAGCTCTATCGACAAGCATTTTGCAGCCAGCGTGAACCTCATGCCGATCACAAAAAAAAAAGTAGGTGACAGGAACTCCTTTCCACCTGAGCTGTTTTTCTTTTCAACAAGTGACATGAATCAATAACAAAAGGCTGCTTGGCTTAACTGCTTCGCTAAGTCCTCAAAAGTCTTTTAGTGCACAATGGAGGGAGTAAAATTGCCCAGATAAAGACATACAGCAACTCAGGGAGCTGAATATACACTGGCGGGTCCCAACACCCGTGCCGACAGCAAGGCTCAAAGCACTCAAGAAAAATTAATTGCATGTACTTGTAAATATATATCATGGATGTAATGATCACTGACAAATGATAGCACGGAAGAAGTCAATCCACAATAACGAGAAACACAGATTTCTCAATCTTATCAATCTAGCATATAATGGCATAGGATTCCCAAGCACCTTTAACAAACATTCCTGCATCTATTTTCAAGTTTGGCAATGATTACAGTAAATGTATCAGATAAAAATGCTCCCTCATGCTTGTAAGAGCCTCCCCAACACCCCAAAGCATGCAGCACATGTTACCACCTGCACAAGATGAGAGGACAAGTTCTAATCTATCTTCTACTAGTATGGCTCCTGCTTGCAGTTTCTCAGCTCCAGGAATCCCAAATCAATGTTCAAGCTATTGAATCAGGCAACCCTCTCTCTCTCTCTCTCTTGCTTACAGACAGAAGCGTTGCATAGAACTACGTGAAGCAGACTTTACATATTCTTGTAGGTTCTAATGCATGTATATATTTTCTTACTGCCAACAGTTCACTTCAAGCTCAGACCTAGAAGCCCCATGCCAAAGTCACGCACTAGAAATGCATTGCCTACCTGGGTAAGCACTGAGTAGTCTCTTTTGGTTTATACCTATTGAATTTATCTTAGCTACTATAAAGGCATTGTTGACTAAAACTCCTTGCATCTGTAAAATGATGAAAAACAGGTTGAAACAAAGAAGATTCATAAATCCCCATCTGGACCCAACCCAGTAGGAAATCACCGCCCACCGTCTAGGGAATAAGTCAGTGGATGCAACAGCCAGCATAGGAAATAGAATGAGGGTAGCATGATCTGGTTTGAATGTCACATGTGTCACGTAGACTTTGGGCTTGTACAAGAATGAAATTTACTTTTAAGATTCATGTCAGAAAGCACGTATTATTGTACTATTGTATGCTCCTATTTTCCACTAAAATTTTTAGATGAGTTAGCTCTGGCTTTACACACCTAGTAAAGGATTGCTGTGAGATGGTATGTATGGTTTTCTTCAATCAGAAGGTATCCTATCTCCTTGTTACAAAGTTCTACAACACAAGGCTTCCATTCAATGCAGTTGAGATAATATGCCAAATGCTATGTTAGAGTATCCCTTGTTTGCAGAAAGAGGCACCCTCTTTTACATGTGAAAGAAAATGTGTGCTTGATTTGAACCTTGAATCTTGAATCTGACTGAAAGTAAAACTGTCAACAAATTGTGTTCTCAATTGGCTGAAACAATTTAAACAAAGAATTGATAGATCTTCATTTGCAAGGAAATAAATTATAAACCCAACCATTCCCCAATTCAGAGGTTAAAATCAGATCAGAGGAAGCAATGAAGCTGCAACTATTCGCACTGCAAGATTCCTACAACTTGAACATAATTTTTCCAGGAAGGAGGCTTAAAATGCTTAACAGCCACGTAACATAACACATGGTAAAAATGCCAGGTTACACAGTTGAATAAAATTTTCTTAACCTGAGCAATGACTGAAATACGAAAAATATGGGCTTTTTAGAGCATGTGGGCATGACCATTTTTCAGTCAGACAGTTTTCCATGATTTTGCAATAAATCTTAAGATGAATGAGCCAGCATAAAAATGGCCACTATATTAAGAACAGTACAATTCCATTAAATATACAGGACTCACCGTAAACTACAACAATTAAGCATACAATCCTCTTACACAGCACGCTTCCGCTTTGATCTCTTGCTTCGTCTTGGCCGAGAAATATTAGGAACCTGTTTGCTTGCACTGGAAGCATAAGCTTCTTTGAGAGCCTCGTCACCCTGTTGGAAACTGCAAATTAGTTTTTGCTTTTCGAGGAGAGATGGGGTAAGGAAGTAGTTGGCACAACCGCTAATGGTGAAATATTAGAAAACAACATCACACCTACACATCCAAAAACCAGCCCTCTAGCTACAAGCCTAAAATAAAGTAGCATGTTTCTTGACTTAGAAAAGCCAAACCTCCCAAGACCTGTACAGTTATCACATTTGAAATATTTAAATTCAATTTTAGATGTCTTTATTCTTCAACTTTAGAATAAGAGAACGACCAATGCCATTTTAAAGTTAACTACAGTCATCTGCAACAAAATTAATTTAGGCACATAAGACAAGTTATTTGTGGTTGCAGTTAATGTCCCCTCATGTGACCAATGAATCCTCTCCATGTTAATAGCATACCCATGCTTGCACGCACACACACACAAAAGAAACTGTTTGATTTTACTACATGATTCAATCAATGTTGGATTTTGCAGCAGTGGAACCCACCTACTGACACAAAAAAGTCAAAATTTTGGGTTCATGATCATGCTGCCATAAACATAGTGCTGCAGACTAACTTCAGCTCTCCCAAACATGACTAGCTTTCGAAGTCATTATTTGCTTCTTATTGCTGTCCTAAATGACAAGTTTAGAAGATGGCACATGACAGAGAAAAGGAGTACCATGCTCACTAATGACTTCATACAGTTCAACTTGCAAGGAAGATTAAAACCTTGCTATCCATGGTCCCACAAGAAAACAATCTTTGACAACTGTCAATCATGAAGAGTCTAGACATGCAATCAGCATCTTCTTGAATGTGATCAAAAAGAAATGGCAAGTTCAAGAAAGTTGTAATACTCGTCAAGTATCAACTATGCATTGGGCTCCATACCCAACACAATCATGCTTCTTTTTTTCAATAAAAGAGAGATTCTATTTTTTTTCCCCCTTATATTTGATGAGAATCTATGAGAAATTCCAAACAATGGTTCAAATGCTCCATAAGCAGCCTCTAGTCACTAAAATAAAAATTTACCTTGCCCTTTGTCTCTGCATCTGATCCCTCATCAGAATCAGATGCAGAATCTAAAGTCTGAACCTCTTCTGCTGGCAGAGCCTTGCTTACTTTCTTCTTCTTCTCCTCTTCTTTTAATTGTCCGAACCTGTTAATTTTCATTTACTTTTCGGTAAGCTAAATTTGAAGCAAAACAAGAAACATATGCAACTTTTAAGAAGCAGGGAACTGACCTATCCCCAGGCCGTGCTGGCTGAGCAGCTGATCGTTTTGCACGTCCTGCAGTTATAATTCCACTTGCACTCTCATCAACAACAGGTTTTGCACCACCTAACTTGCGCAACCACACTTGTTGTGCAGTGCTAAGGACGTTATTTGTGAACCTGAGAATGGCAAGCTGCACTTCATAAACCAATAGAAGAACATGTTTTTGGACATGTAAACAAACTAATGTCCATTATATGTAGCTCAACAATAATGTGTACTCGTTAAAAGCAAGTTTGGGTGTTTCAGCACTTAATATAAGGGAAAAAAAAAGTCATGGTGTTTTAGAAACTAAGATAATCGAGAACAAGCAACATGTCTATAGCACATTTAATAAAATGGGAGTGTGTGTTCAGGAATATAGATTCACGTACATACAGCACAGTGGGAGAACAAATGATGATAAAAATTAGATGTGGAGATTTAGTGGTGGGTGCATGAATTTAAATGCAAAGGGAATAAAATGCAGTGAAGCTAAGAAAAGCATGTTCGCATATGCAAATTTTGCTGCAAATTAAATACAGAAGGAATCGAGTGCAATGAAACCAAGAAAATTATTCTAATATATGCAAATTTCAATTGTAGATACATTCAAGCTGAGAATGCAAAATAAGCACAGTGAATACAAGAAAAATCAAGTTTCGAAATTCTACTCCCACTGACACATACAACAAGATCAAGAAAAATATTGATAGCACAAGAGTATGCAGTATAGAGTTGTAATACAAGTAGAAAGTGAATTAGAAGCAAAGCACATATGTTAAGTCTATTGGTTTCAATAAAACTGCTAAAAGAGACTAACCAGTAAATTGATAATCCTGATGGAACAGATAACGAAAAGTAACCAATCATAAGCGGAAGAAACTTGAAAATAAGAAGTGTGTTCTTTTGGGCAGGATCGTCCGTCTGTCAAAAGAAATTGTAGAGCTTCAAACTACTTAGCAAATAAGTAAATATATAAAAGGAATCAAATGGACTAATTAGACCTGTTCTTACCTGGGGAGGCTTCATGAGCTCCATTGAAACATATTGAGAGACAACAAGGAGCACAGGCAAAACAAGGTATGCAGCAGTGTCATGCCATCCCAATGGTGGTTGGCCATCCTGAATGACACCTCATATGTTAGATAACTATATCAGATATACGAACCTATGACAGCAGACTGTCTCTATGCCTGATCAACAAAAGCAATTGCTGAAATCTCTAATTTGATATGCAGTTTAATCATATTATTGCACATGTTTAGTAGCTAGTAATATTATAATCACTTTTTCCATCCCTGGCAACCACATATGAAGATGCTACAATGAACTAGACAGCACCAACAGGAAACCATAAAGGTAAACCTAATCTTTCGATCCTCACAAATAGTAGTCTCCCCTCCCAGAGTTGTTAAGGAATATATTGATGCCAAAAGGCTAAAATAAAATAAAACAAGAATCAGTCTCTTTAACATCTCCATAGATTTAAAACAAGATTAAAAATGTAGAGAATTGTCACAAAGAAGTGCTATAAAAATACAGTGGTGTCTTGTTATGCATTTCATCTCAAAAGCAAGGTAACCTAGAATGTTGAAATCTACAGGAACAGCAAATGGAATTGTTAACCTGATAAATAATTTTAGGAAAGTTTATTACCACGAATGGAATAAGCCAAGAAATTCCAGACCCACTTTGTCGAGCAGCAATTGTAGTTGGCCCACCCAAAGAAGGGATCCAAAAGAAACCTTCCGTAAACAGTCCCTTTAAGTAAAAATTTTGTAACAATCAGCAATTGATTAAGGTTGTTACCATGTAAAAGAGTCTTCCCACGTCACATAGAATGTTATATTATGTCAACCAATTCCTTACCTCATTTGCCACATTTGAAAGAGCTTGATACAGGCCTATCCAGACTGGAATAGTCACCAAAGTAGGGAAGCAACCTATGGAGAAGAAGATCTAAGATATTAATCGGCATCATCACCATGAAGCTAACAGCTATAAGACCTCAAGAAACTGAAAAGAGACAAAATGCCACTTTAAAAAGTATATATACTGGTAATCACATTTGATGCTACAGATGATGACAAATTTACATCTAAAGAGAATGAATTAATTATTCATTTTTTTAATAAAATAATACTAACACCTAAATTCAAGTTCAAGTATACCACCACAACACCACCATAACCTTTTGATCAGCAGATTTAAACATCTAAGATTCCAAAGAAGCAAAGAACCAACTTCCAAAAGATGCTAACATTGATTGAATGTGAAAAATCAACAAAAGGATACCTGCCAAAGGATTAACCCCAGCTTGCCTATACAAACGAGATGTCTCAAGTTGTATTCTTTCCTGTACAACACCAAAACAAACAATTAAATCAAAATGAAAAACCTTTCTAATTGATAAAAATAAATACTAAAATTAAAACTTTAATATTACCTGATTGCCTGCATATCTTTGTTGGATAGCTTTTATTTTTGGTTGAAGGTTTTGCATAGCTAATGTTGATTCCACCTAAACATGTAATTACCATCGTTAACGAACAGTTAACTATCGAGTAAAAAAAAGTCAAAATACAGCTATATTTTAAACACTTCCTTTTTCAAATTCAAGTTAAAACAAATACAAACCTGTCGCTTTGTCAAAGGAAATGTAGCAATCTTGACTATAACCGTAAGCAATATAATCGCAAATCCATACGAGTATGGCACGTGTAACGCTGATAATCCGTCTTTCAACACCTAAAAAAAACAACATAAATCAACAAATAGTTACTTA